GCCTCTTCGATTCGGAGCATCGCACAGTGCAGGTCCCACACAGTCTGGAGCCTGGTGGATCTCTTTTCTTTTGTTGCTCGGTTTCGGTTTGGGTCCCGTGCTATATGTTATGTTAGGTGGTTTTTATGTTGTAAGATGGAAGTGAATCGGTACAGGGCGCAGGATGTCACAAGGAGCTTCAGCGAGACAAGCTGGACCCCTTTGCCCAGCGTGGCCAAGCCTCCGAACCCTAAGCTCACATCATGACACCCCACCTTCCCTGGTACAAAGTTTGGGAAGGAGGGGTCTGCGATTAAGCGTTGGGTGGGGTTGCCGCAATGCAAAAACCGATTTTTTCGACAGGCTGCAGATTTGGTGTGTTGCCTCTGGGTTTGTGCGTTTCTGTCATTCGTTTTACGCAGCTGCTGCATGGCTGATACAGCAGCGAATGAAAAACCATGAGACATCTAAAACATCGTGAGCAAGATAGCAGGCACGGCGTGCAGTGAAAACCCTGAATCGAAAAAATGGCACGTGACACTGTGTGAGTTGCGTGACGGTGTCACCCCCAACTTCCCTAAATCTTAACCCCAACAGGCTTCCCCTGCTACATGCAAGTGCTTACAGATGATTTACTCGGCGCTGTGGTGTGTCTGTGTAATCTGATGATCTGTTAGATGGGCCTCAGCCAGCTTCTCCATCAAGGTTGTTTTTGACGCACTGGGCCCTCATAAATGCATGATCTCCCTTCGGAAATTCAGGCTGAATTGCTGACCCCCCCTCGGTAATTGAGGCTTAATTGCTGACCCCCCCTCGGTAATTAAGGCTTAATTGCTGACCCCCCCCCCCCGCCCACACGATCATTAAGGATAGCTCAGCCGAGCTTAATTGCAGAGGGGGGGTCTGCAATTAAGGTTTTTGCAGCGCTTTTTGGGTCCAAATCCCTGCCAAAACCATGAAAATCACTATGTTTCGGGCAGTTTTGGCACGAAAAACTGCTGCAAAAACCTTAATTGCAGACCCCCCCTCTGCAATTAAGCTCGGCTGAACTATCCTTAATGACCGTGGGGGGGGGGGGGGGTCAGCAATTAAGCCTTAATTACCGAGGGGGGGTCAGCAATTAAGCCTTAACTAGCGAGGGGGGGGGGGTGAGCAGCAAGCATCCCGCTATCTCTGCTTAGGGCTTCAGGCGGTTTCGGGTTTTAGGGCTGTGCATTTTAGGGCTCTTAAGTTAATTCTTAAGTTATGCCGTAAAAACCCTCTCCGCCTGCCACACTTTCAAGTCTTCTTTCTTCTTTGGTTTTCCGGGGTAGGGGCGAGGGGCTGCTTTGTCACCTCATGCTCACGCCAGAAGACGACGCCAGGTGAGAAGAAATGAGCGCCCAGTGTGTGTTGTGTGTGTGCATGCAAGTTGTAGCGTCAGACGAGCTCAGACAAGCGAGCTGATTGGGTCATTTGGAGCCTGGGGCCTGGCGTTTGGAGTGTGTTTTACTCAGGCCTGTTTTTTCCAAGGCTTCATTTTGCATCAATATACAAAATGAACTAAAATATCTAAATCACCAGGAGTTTTTCCTTAATTACCGAGGCCTTTGCTTAATTGCAGCCCAAAAACCCGATTTATGAAAGTTGGCCCCCGGCGATTTGCAAGATCTCACGTTTGCGCTCAAGGCCGCGAGGGGCACTGGCCAGGGCCGTTCGCTATGTCCCTAGAGACGAGCCTTGCAGACGTGCTGAAGGCCCAAGATAGGAGCCCGCAGGAGTCAGATGATGTTTTTGGCATCGTATACTTAGATGCTCGTTCGGTGTTCAGATGCAGGGAAAGGCACGGTCCTCCATTGCAGCGTGGTCCACTCCACCTAATCAGGCTCCGAAATGTTCTCAAGCTGAAACTTGAATCTAAGCCCCTTCTGAAGCATTCCTGCTCTGCGGTTCGCCCCAGCTGTGCAGGAGGGGAAAAAACTCAAGTCCTAAGCCAAGCCCTCAAACGCAAGTCTGAGTATGACCCTGTCCACCCCTGGTTCCCTACAGTATCACAAAGGCCTGTGTTGACCCCAATGACACCCATGTGACAGACACCGCTGGAGCACTTGAGCTTCGTAGTCTTGGACGAGACCAGCGTCCGCCAGGGCGAGGCGCAATGTGGGACTTTCAAGTAATGGGAGGGTTTTGGGGGCTACGAAAAATCAGAATAAACACTTCCAGACGAAGAATGGGGAAACATATTTCCCCAACTCTTCTAGGGCTTAGGATTTCAGTCGGCTTTCTGGGGCTTGGCTTCCATAGGCTGCGCAAAAGACTCTTGGCATCTCCTGGAGTTGCACGAAGATAGGCTACCAAACATACCGAGATGCTCGTCGAGTAAAACCACCAAGAACGGACGTTCACGCTACAGCAGGAGGTTTGGCGTTTGTCGTGCGAACTGCCATCGTCTGGGCTGCCCGGATTCGAGGTTAAGAAAGGCCGTGGTTTCGTTCAAAAGTCCGTCTGTCTCGGGAGCACGAGGAGAGCGCTCCATATTCCGAGAGTATACATTCTGACTCGTCATCGCGGACGTCCCATCCTCAAGCAAATCCTATCTGCTCTACAAGCCCTGGGCCGAACCCCCAAACCCTGCCCGAAAAGCTTAAATCCCCCCCAACTACCAAAAAAACACGAACAGTGAAAACAACATTGGAATGATAGCAGCTAGCAGCTAGAAATAGCGGTGTCATAAGTCAAAAGCTGCCCCAGGCCATCCTCGAGTTCAGAAAGGCCTTCTGCACTCGCCCGGACACGCGGGTCCCCTTCAAGGCCTGCGCTCTTCAGCAGTCCGCCTGGGTTTGGGGTGTTTCTGGATCAGGGGACCTGATGAGATAGACGGGGGGGGGGGGGGGCGTAGGGCCAGTTTCAACGAAGGCCCTCCAGATTGGAGCGCCTGGCTGAATCTATTTTTGCCGCAAGAAAGGGCGTTTAGAGTGCAGAATCCGACAGGTTCCTCAACAAGTCCATGTTCACAGGCATGCGTCAATAATGGAAGCAAACGACAAGTAGCGGGCAGCGTTGTCCCATAGACAGTATAGTATACACATGCAATCGTCCACGAAAAAGTTCCTGTGAAAAACACACTACAGCCGTAGCCCGCCCCCCTCCAGCCCCCCCATCCCCACATTCCAAATTTCAAGACAGGTGCCGGTGACCTTCACCTGCACTGAGGGCGCCAGTGACTGGGCACAGGCTCCACGCAGATGTGTTGCAGCTGCAGTACTGTAGCTCCACGTGGGTTCTAGGGTTCAGGGTGTAGGGTATACAAAAAAGGGTCTAAGGTGTAGGGTTTGGGGTTTGGGGTTTCGGACCGCAGTGGCCAGAATCGAGCTGCTTTGCCAGGGTGAGCCCATTGGCGCAGTGGGCGAGCTTGAAGGAGTGCAGTGGGGGAGGGCATGATGGCCGCCACGTCCTGTTGTGGCTTTGCTTGTGGGTCTGGTTGTGGCATTGACAGGGCTTCGGCTTCTGACTTCGTGATGTGGCTAGCTTGCATGTACCTAGACCTCAAAAGCCTCGACCCCTGGAGGGTTGGTCTGGGTCCTGTAGTTTCTTGGAAGGGGCAGAGTACTGTAGGTATCGAGCCAGCGTGGTATAGCATGTCGTGCGATTTCGGACATCCTAATGTGCCCTACGCCATGCGAAGTGGTTGTCAGTTCAGCGAGGCCCCCTATAGACGGGAGGCCCAACACAGAAGTGCCCAAACCTTCAAGGCTCTAATCGAGCCGACACCGCGTTGGACCAGGAGCCCTGATCTACCGGAACCTTCCCGTGCGGTTCCTGGCCTTCCAGCCGTTTGTGGTTGTTTTGGTGGTAAAGAGCATGCATAGTGTCAGTTGTAACACGTATACACTCACGCAGACACATTTCTGCATACAATCACAGATAGAGATAGATAGCTAGCTAGATAGGAATAAATAAATAAGTTGAAATTTAAGCATGAATTGAAATACAAATAAAATTAAAACATAAATAGAAATAGAAATCGAGATAAATATGTGCATATATATATATATACATATGTGCTCATTCTCTCTCTCTCTCTCTCTCTGCGCGTTCGTGCGCATATATGTATACATACACATACGAAGTTCTGCGCTCTGACTCGGGTGCAGGCTTACGCGCAAATGTTTGGAGGACTTTGCGTGGACGGCCAGGCGGGGTGGACGTGACAATGTTCTGCTGTTTTGGCCTTTCTGATTGCACAATATTCGTAAGTAGAGAAGTAGAGCGAGCCGCTCACCATCCAAGGACGATTCGTTTTCCACCATTTTGACATAGTCTCTCGTGTACGTTGCAGCTCGAGGGGCTTGCTCCGTGAATGGCTGCTGCTTTGCAGCGAATTCGAGTTTGAGGCGCAAAAGTCTCCCAAACTTTCAGCAAGCCCTCAAGCTGCAACAGCTAGCAACTCTCCCCAAAGCAACTCGAGCTTCCGATTTCAATGCACTCGCAATTCGCTCCCGCAGGTCGATGGTGGCTTCTGGCTTTACGATGGGCTTCCCTATCCGTGCACCGGCCGCTTTTGGCTTCCAGTTCTCAACACCTTCTCGCGGGTGCAGGTATGACTTGTGTTTGGTGGTCCTTGAGAGCATGCTCAGTTACTGTTCGGTTTCCTCTCGTATCTAAGCATATAAGCCCACACCCACATGGAAGGGACGTGGCTACATGCTGCGCTGAGGCAGACCATGTCTCACCCTCCTCCTCTCCTGCAAGATCACTTGGATGTGCTGCTCCCGGAAGTGTTTTTCCACGCATCTCGCGCCAGGTCTGGGGAATCCCAGTAGCCAGGCAAGCTTGCCCCAGGCCCTCCCAGGCCCCCACCCCCCTGCAGAACGCGCTTCTGCCCTGCATGTCGAGTGGTAGTCACTGGCAGTCCCAGATACTGACAGGACCAGGAGGCAAGCGTTCTACTGTTGTCGCTGCCTGTTTTTGTTGCTGCAGGGCGCTATCAACGCAACCTGTTCCGGCTCTGGCTCAAGACCTGACACGGGGGCCCACGAGCCATGGCATTCGTGGCGCAGTTTGCGGAGATTGAAGACAAATCCTGCCCCCTTCTGAGCTGCGACCCGGCTGTTCCATTTGAACAGGAGCAATTGTACATGCAGCCTTCCGAGTGGTAAGACGGCTTTGGGCTGAGGGTTCGTTCATTTCAGGAGTTGTGCATGCTCTAACCGTCTATCGGTACGGCAGTACCTGAGGGACGCTTGGCGCTCTAGCTGCAGCAGCAGGTTCTCGATACTTTGAAAGCACGAGAAGGGTAGCAAACAACAAGGGCAGAACCGCAGAAGACGACATACGACCACGGATAAGTGCGATGAGCGCATGCATGCACAAGAAAGCCTCTCTGAATGCTGCCCTGGTTCGCCGTAGCGTGCCCTGTCATGTCAATGAGGGAGCGTTAACCGTTAAACTCTGAAACGTTGCGCACCTGAGGCTGCTGCTGGGGCCTATCCTGCACCTCCTGTGATGACCCATGCTGCCTCGACAAGCACAAGTTCCCTCGCTGCCTTGCGTGTGTCGAGCGATGCACCAGCTAAGGCAGCAGGCAGGTTCGGGTGAAGGGCTTGAAATGTGGGCTGCAGCTGAGGTGCTGCTGCTGCTCTGGTGGGTGTACATCAGGTGAGGATTGCGTTGGCCAGAAGGCGATGGCTGCCCCTGTCTGGTTAAGAATGAGTGTCAAGAACTCAACCATGCTAGAAGTATACTCGATCCCCCAGGCCATCACTTGCCCAGACCCTGGGGTCCAGAGACTGCCGCAGGGATGCATGACGGGCTTTTCAAAGACCTGCTGCTGCGTTCAGGCCGGCTTCCGGATGTTCTGAAGATGTAATGCCCATCTTGTGCCCGAAAAGTTTTGCTCGATAGAATGTTGGCTAGGTTCAAGTGGGACTCCTTGCTAATCGGCGGGGATGTGGGACTGGCTTCTGGTTCTCTTTTTTTGATGATACTGCAAAGAGCAGCTTGCCATCTCTATTCTTGCTCTTGCTGAACCGCAAGAAGGGTCGCAAGGGGTGGAGTTTTATTGTCGTTTCGCACGCTGTCACTCTACAGCCAGGGTTCTAAACATCAGCTTCGAGTCGGATGGATGCTATGGATACTACTTGTTGGACTCTGCCAGTCGGGCTCTCTGAACAACATGGCGGTGGGCTGCTGCGCCGCTAGGTTGCAGCAGAGACATGTCCCAGCTTGAGTCTGAATCCCGAACTCAACACACGCGTATGCGTACGTCGTACGTTTTTTTGTTGTGCTTACTTGAATCTCTCTTGTGGCTGCGAGGCCTAGAACCTGTGTGCCGGATCCTTAAAAAATCAGCGCAACAAAAACAAGCCAAGCGAAAAGAGCGATCTGAGCCAAAGTTGCACTGGGCACTCGGGGGTAAATGGGGGCTCCCTGGTAAGCCCTGAACCCAAACCCTCTGAAGCCCCAAGCCGCGCACTCTTGAAAATCTCACCCCACCATGGCCCCAAAGTTTAAGGACATCTTCGTCCTCGGCCGCCCCTACGGCGAGGGTCGCCTGGTGGAGGATCCGGAAACCGCCTTCATGCAGCAGGCCAAGGGATGCGAGGGCTCTTATTATGATGGTGTGGGATTCTCACACCAGCCTCCTGGTACAAACTTGCAGGTGTGCTGGTGCTTCTACTGCCTTTGCATAGGCCGCTGGGAGTTGGCGGGGGGGGGGGGGGGGGGGGGGGGGGGGGGGGGGAAGATTCGTTCTAGTTTGTTGTGTTGAGATTTTGGCTTGGGAGGATGTGGGGTCGGCCAGGTTAAGAGTATATTTGATATTTGGCATTTTTTGTAAAATGCAATTTTGATCTGAAGCTGCCAGCCTGGAGGCCACAAGCGCACAACGTGAGATTAAGCCCCGCCCCGAGCCCCGGTACAGAAACATCCAGAGCGATCGTAACAATCGCCATTGATTTTGTTCAAGTGCCTGTCCAGAAATGACAGTTGGGAACCATCCACATCCTAATGGCAAGGCTGGGGTTGCGGGCCGTCCAGCCCGCACTTCGGTTGCACTTCAGCATTGCTGCATGTGCTCTCTCGCACACTTCTTGTGTCGCTTAAGTTGCACACGTGACGGCAGCTGGAGCTGTAACCACTGTAATCAGATTCTGCTTCAACGACAGCAAGTGTCTGTGCATCGAGGACGGCCAGCTGTTCCAGTATGCGTAGCATCAGCTTCTGTGGAGAGATGCGCTTACCATGCCGATCTTTCGCTCGTAAAGGGGGGGGGGGGGAACTGTGCCACACTACTCCTTCCCAGCACCTTGACCCACTCCAAACCTTGCCAGGAGAAAGACACGACTGACGAGTGGTGGACGCACGAGGGTATGTGCCTGGAACCTGGCTGTCCGAGGTCCAGCCCAGCTTCGCCTCAGCTTCTCAGAGCTCTTGGACCCCAAAATTGGGTCCGAACCCCAAAACCCCAAAACTCTACACGTCGCATACTTGGTTGTACCCCGCAGGCAGCCGTGCCCCAAATCTTCTTCCATGTGTGGCGCCCAGGTCACTCAAATTCCAAGGTGCATGGGTTTTGCCCTGAAGAAACAATCGCAAGTTTCAGAGTTCAGAGGTATGGAACACTTTCCATGCTGTGTTTGGTTGGCTTTCCTGCTGCTGCCACAGCAGGCCGACTGGACTGAATTGCCTTTGTCACAGTGTGTCACCTGCAGGCTGTTTGCCTCGTGACACGCTCCAACTTTCCGCCCAGCAGGAGGTTCGCCCGAAGCAGCTGACCCGAAGCTTCAAGGCCTTCGGTAAAGGTTGGAGTCAGAGAGCAGGTATGCAGCCTTCACTCTAAAGATGACACCTGTGACTTGAACATACATCCTGGGCTTGTTTTCTCTTCCCTCGGAAGAAGCCGCTGAGCCCGAGTCATGCCAATCGCCTCAGCAGGATCGGCTGCGGGGCTTGCGGACGCTCAGCAGTTATCGGCTTGTCGCTGTACCCGTATGAATGGTGGGCTTAAGGTTATGGCTATTTGGTTCTTTCTTGGCTGTGTTGTTGGCGTCTGACCGGAGCCTCATCGCGGAGTTGCAAGGACGCTTATCTAGGCTGTTGGGCCTTTCCAAAGGAATGACCTTGCCTGCTTGGTATGCCGACACCAAGTCCAGTCCCCAAAACTGTCGAGGTTGTTCTATGGCGTGCAAGAGGCATGGCGCGCCCCTCCACTCCGAATGAACAAACACAAGGGGCTTCGAGGCTCGGGTTAGGCTCCGGATCCCTTCCTGTCTTGCTTTGATGACTCTGGAAGCCGAGACTGACTGCCAGAAACCCTTGCCTAAACGAAGTTGCACTTGGCCTGCAGGTAGACTACCAGGGCCTACCCGTAGGCCTGCAGTAGGCCTACCGATAGGTTGAGCATAGCCTATGCTTGAAGATTAGTGCTGAAGACGAGTTGTAAGAAATCCACGATGACAGTTCAGTGCCTTAAAAACCAACTCGGCAAAGGACTTGCTGATAGGATCCCTCCAAACATGGGCTGAGGATGCGCGATCTGCAAGATGCCCCCCCAAGCGCGAGCCCCCGCCCCCGCCGACCCCGCCGCCGCCGCCGCCGCTGCCGCCGCCGCTGCCGCCGCCGCTGCCGCCGCCGCCGCTGCCGCCGCCGCCGTCGTAGTCGCACAGCCTGGGCAGCAGCGCATGTGAGCCAGGCTCGCCAGGATTTTGCTGCTTTGTCAGCGCATGTTTCTCCTAAGTCTGGCTTTGCCCCGCCTGCCGACACAGGCCCAGATATCTCGAAGGAGATGCGGCGAAGAAGCTGATTGCTTGTTCATACCCATGGTGCCGAGTCGTATGACGACGCTCTTGCAAAAAAAATTGGAGAGCTGCTGTATCTAATGACAAGGCAGCCTTCTGCACCCGAATTCCTCCTCCCCCATCCCCTGAACAAGAACATCGCCCGCCTGTGCACCTATTCTTGGAGGGACGGGGTCAAAAAGAAAGTGGGAACATGATGCCTCACAACCTGCCATAGATCCGTGAAGCATCTCTTGCTTGCCTCTGCAGCTTTGAAGGAAGCACAGACTGTAGTGGTGTAATGGAACCAATCGTATTGAAACTTGACGTGCTCGACGGCAAGTCGTGCAAAAACCTTGTCGCCACATTGCAGTAGCCTCTCCTCGTCAGAGGACCGCTGCAAACGAAGCGCGTAGTGGACGCGCACGAATCTACCAACCATTCGCCCGAGCATTCGTGAGCATTGGCGATGGCATCTTCCCGCCGACGCCATGTGGGTTTGCTGGCGCTGCTGGTTGTTGGGTTTCTGGGCTGCATGGATCTGACGCTTCCCAGCCTTGCAAGAGCTCCATGACCAAACACAGAAGTCTGGGCAGAGTGATTCTACAGCACGTGCCCCCTCCTCCACCTCAAGCTAGCTTGAAACCAAGCCTCCACTGCCCAGGCTGATCCAACGCCGTCTCGCGGCAGCCAGGGTTGTCCTACTAGCGGATTGTCGAAGGGAGGAGATTGACTTTCGGAGGCCCGCTTCGGGCTTCAGGAGGCCCCAGAGGCCTAACACAAGCAAGTGTCAAGTCGTGCCAGCACCTGCGTTTCGAAGTCGGGCTGCAATGAAGGGCTGCGCGCGTCAGACGCAAGTTGGGCAAGAAGGGTGTTGCAGGACAGGCCCCCTTTTTGTGCTTGCAAGTGTTGGCATAGAGACCGTTTCGAAGCGGTTTGTGGTTTCCAGCTGGTCGAGCATTCGCTTGAGAAGTGTTGCTGAGTTTCTCCGACATTCTCAGTGGCTCGGCCGGCTGTCGAGGAAGGCTGTGGGAGGGACAGCGAAGTAGCTTCTTTATGCTGCGGATGCTCGAGATTCTGCACGTTTGGGTTTTTGAATGATCGGCGGAATGCCGAAACACCGTCCTACATTTAGTTTAGGATTTCACCCGAATACAGAACAGCATAAAAGATTTAGAAAAGTTGGAGATGTAGATAGTGCTTTTGATGGAGGAGCGATAAATGTATATACTGATACATTAAACCCTATACAAAATCATGATGTGTCGGCATTTGATGGAATTAGTGAAACACTGCCAGAAGGTGAAAAATGATTTTATCTATATTGTATTAATGATGTTTAATAAGCCGAAGCATATAAAAGAACCTGCCAGAGTTGGTAAAAACCCAGAGGAAAAAACTAAAAAAAACAATTTAGTTAAGAAAATTAACAATTCATCTTATGAGATGATAAGAGATATAGTAGAAAGTAATGATAATACAATAGAATTAAATATTAATAAAGATAAAAAAACCCGAAAATAATAATTTAAAAAGTCATAAAAATATACTAAATAAAGTATCTATATATTATATAAAATGGATTTAGTTATTGCTGAAAGTACTGATAATATGATTAACTCATTACAGTTTGGACTTCCTGAAAGCGCTGCCTATATTACAGATCGAAAGCAAGTACATTTTCCAAGCGTATCCGGAAATGTATTTTCAAGTAAAAACGGAAATAAATATTTAAAATTTGTAATTACAGGTGAAGATAATAATTATATTGATTTATCAAGTGTTTCATTATTCTTTGATGTTGCTAATACTGATACTGATGCTAATAAATATTTGCGACCATTAGGAGAAAGTCATGCTTTCTTTACACGATATAGATGCAATGCGGCCGGACAACAAATTAACGACATTGATAATTATAACTTAGTATGCGAACAAATGAAGTCATTTAAGTCAGAAGAAGTAAGAAATTCAGACGATATACAGGAAGGATGCTTAACCCGTTATGATAGTAGAATTAATAGACTTTTTGCTTATAATATCGAATCACATGACGCAACAGCAACAACAGGAGCAAATCAACGAGGAGTAGTAGTGCCTAAACTAACACGAATTAATACAACAGGTATTGAGTCAGGTGAATTTGTAAGAATGGGTCATAAACCAGTATGTGGTTTTGTAATTCCGGATATTATCCCCCTATTAGATATTGTCCCTTAGAATTTATTTTTGAGATATGTAGTGATGAAACTGAACCGGTTATTACACCAGCAACGCCAGTAGATGGTGCACAAGCAGAAGACGATGAAGACGGACTGTACTTTACATACGCATGGTTTATCCTGCTTATCATTCATTTTCACAAGTTTACTCAGCAACAAATATAGAAATTAATATGAACATCGTTAAATCTTCTACTCGTTTATCACAAACGTTGTTTACATTTAGTAATAGCAGTGTTAATAGCACTGAAAACAATAAAGCAGGTGAATTTGATAAAAAGAAATGGAACTACTTTTGGCATCCTATGAAAGTATCTATTGATAATTTAGAAGGTGTTGTTGACTCTGATAAACAAATTTCAGCACACATTCAAATCGCAAACAAAAAGTATCCAGAGCAAGAAATTTCAAGTTTATCTGAATTTATGTATTTCTTACGCCGTGCTGTAAATGTTATGTCTCCTTATTATGATGGTTTTAGTATTGATATTTACAGATACGCTATTGATAAATTTATTGGTGGAATAAATTTCGATAAGCAACCCGATATGAATTTTACAGGAACTAATACCAAAATGGGCAGTTTAATTACATTTAAAGTTAAAGGGGCAAATTCTAATTCGCCCTGGGGATCGAACGCGTATTTATTACAGCAGTGTCAGAACATGTTTTTGAGTTGTCAGAGAGCTCATCGACCGTATTAGATTAAATTATTGACTGTATTGAATTTTATTTGTAAAATGTTATAAAGAAATAAGACTTTTTAAGATATTTTACTACAATAAATATTATTAAATTAATTGTTATCTAATTAATTTAATAATGGCAACTTTAAACAACCTTTCTACAATCTACGCCAATGATATTTATTAAAACCTATTCAACTGGTGTTAGTGAATTAGACGACACATACGCATCTAAAACAGATGTAGAAAACAATAATACAGTAAATACAGCAAATATTGCAACAAACGCCGCAGACATAGCAATTTTAAATACAAAACAATTGCAAAACTTTAATAATATAAGTTCATTAACTCATATAGTAGTTACTGATTATCAAACAAACGCCACATTATCCAGCACATTTTACAATAAAACAGAAATAGACACAACATTTAGTAATTATTATACATCTACACAAATAGATACAAATGTATCTACTAATTTTCAAACTAATACACAGATACAAACCAATTATTATAATGAAACCGAAGTAGATGCCTTAGTAGGTGCTGGTGGTTGATACAGATATTGATAATTTATTAGATTTACGAGTTCCCAAGTCAGATTTTACAAACCGATTTAGTGCCAATCCGCAATCCTATTATTGATTGTAGCGCCCCTACCGTTATTCATAGTGGATTAACATTAAATAATTCAACTATAAATATAAGTCCCGTAGCAGGTGTATTATTTAGCAATCAAACCGGTGGAGGCGATAAAATTTTAGCAGAGTTTAAAATCGCAACGAGTTATATAACTTTACAAGGAGACAAAATATTTTGTAATAATACATCTGACGATGCTATAAAACAACTTGATTCAACTAATAATAATGCAGGTTATAAAATGTCAGGAAAAATAGAAACACCAACAGGCGGATTAGTAGTAGAAAACACAGCAGATGCTAATTTATCATGTACAGTTAGAAATACGGATAATTATATTACTTTAAACAACGACAGTATTGATTGTTATAATTCAGTTGGTGATACAGGTAGAATATTAAATGTAAATAATAATGCTGACCAGTATGTTAAAACACATTCTTTGTTAGTAGATACAGGAGCAAATACATTAACAGGGGGTTTTACATTAGATGTTGTAGATAGTGCTATCGGTTAGACAGAATTTAAAAGTAGATGGTAATTTAGACTTATCAAATGATTGTTACGGTGAAAATTACAATATTTCTAATAATTCAGGACTTACATTTTATAAAGACACAACAGATGCATCTAACGTAATGTGTGTGAAAAACGCACAAGGGTATTTGAAATTTATTT